ATCAACCTCTTATGTCACCCGAGGCTCTTGCAGCATAACGTACAACTCAATAGAGTCGTACCCAGAATAGACATGGCTGGAAAACATATTCTGGAGATCCTCGTCAACTTGAACTTCAACCTTATAAAAAATTACTTGGTTGTTTCCAAAGAAAACTGGATTTTGATAAAATATCTGGGACACCGGGCCTCGTTCAAGTTTGGCCTCCAATCTTTTTTTGAAGTACGAGAAATTGGCTTTCCCGTTTAAGAGAAATCGGATATTGTCTGTGTCTCTAAACAAAAACCCAGCGGTGGGACAAATGTATGTCTCACCGTTGAAATGTGCTTTGACGACAAATTATGGTGCAGAGGCCATTGCGTAGAATTGTTTTAAGGTTTGAAGGTTGGAATGTTTTAATTTTATGAGTGATTCGAAGGTTGGAATGTTTGAGGTTTATTGATTGTATGAAGGTTTGAATGTTGTAAGGTTTGAAGGTTGGAATGTTTGAATTTTATGAGTGATTCGAAAGTTTATGTGTTTGATTGTTTGAAGGTTTGAAGGTTTGATTGTAAGAACGTTTGAAGGTTGGAAGATTTGACAGATTAAGTGAATGAATGTTATGATAAACGCAAGACTAAAAATTTCAATTAAGTAAGGATGAAACCCCCAAGGCTGCCAATAGTGTTACATGCAAGGAATCCCAAAGGCTGTCACCTAGCCTGAGCCTAGCCTGCAACAAAGGACACCTCTTATTCGCCAATTGGGGTGGCGACACCATTCATTTTTGTACTCTTTCGCCAAGTCAAATGGTGCCTCCCTTACTGTCCAATCGTGATACATGCATGCAAATATGTAACCCCTAGGCTGCCACCTAGCCTGCGCCTACTCTGCACCTATACTGTATGTTGTAAGTCCCCTCCCATCACCTCCAATGGGCTTACATGCATTCAGGCAAGGAATCCCAAAGGTTGTCACCTAGCCTGAGCCTAGCCTGCAACAAAGGACACCTCTTATTCTCCAATTGGGGTGGCGACACCATTCATTTTTGTACTTTTTCGCCAAGTCAAATGGCGCCTCCCTTACTGTCCAATCGTGATACATGCATGCAAATATGTAACCCCCTAGGCTGCCACCTAGCCTGCGCCTACTCTGCACCTATACTGTATGTTGTAAGTCCCCTCCCATCACCTCCAATGGGCTTACATGCATTCAAGCAAGGAATCCCAAAGGCTGTCACCTAGCCTGAGCCTAGCCTGCAACAAAGGACACCTCTTATTCGCCAATTGGGGTGGCGACACCATTCATTTTTGTACTCTTTCGCCAAGTCAAATGGCGCCTCCCTTATTGTCCAATCGTGATACATGCATGCAAATATGTAACCCCCTAGGCTGCCACCTAGCCTGCGCCTACTCTGCACCTATACTGTATGTTGTAAGTCCCCTCCCATCACCTCCAATGGGCTTACATGCATTCAGGCAAGAAATCCCAAAGGCTGTCACCTAGCCTGAGCCTAGCCTGCAACAAAGGACACCTCTTATTCGCCAATTGGGGTGGCGACACCATTCATTTTTGTACTCTTTCGCCAAGTCAAATGGCACCTCCCTTACTGTCCAATCGTGATACATCCTTAGGCTGCCACCTAGCCTGCAAGAGTGACACCTTTCATTTTTTGTACATGCATGCATGCATATATGTAACCCCCTAGGCTGCCACCTAACCTGCAAGGGTGACACTTCGCATGCATGCAAGCACCAGCAACCACTATATGAAATTTATTTGCCTATAAATACATACCATATCATACATCTCTCACACCCACACAAGTCTCACTCTCTGCTACGAAATCTTTCATAGCCTTTCATACTCTCTATCTCTTCCTAAGTCTTTCATACTCTCTATCTCTTCCTAAGTCTTTCATAATCTCAAGCATTTTAAACAATGGCTCTTCTAACAATGGGCGATACTCATAGAGGCACAAGGGAAAAAATTGCCGCATTTGTAAGTTTCTATTTTGGTTATACATTTTTCATACTTCAGATAATGCGTTGTTCGTCTTACTTAATCTTACACATGTTACATTATGAACTCAGGACACAAAAAGATTCAGAATCCGTTCTCACAACTACCTGGCTCCCGACCCATTTATCGTACCATATCTGGAATACGCAGGTTTTGGACATGTCATAAATATCTCCATCTGCACCATTGACTCGAGGTTCATTCTTGCAATGTTGGAAAGGTGGAGACCAGAGACCCATACATTTCACCTATCAATAGGTGAATGTACCATCACGCTAGAGGATGTGTACATGCTACTAGGTCTCCCTGTCGACGGTAAGGCCGTGAACGGGTCGGTTCAACAACCCAACTCTCAGTGTGAAGAACTGTTGGGCAGGGATATGGTGGAAGGTGGTGGTGCGAGAGGTCAGGGAATACTACTCACTGAGCTGAAAAGTCATTATGCAAGTTTGGAATTAAACGAAAATTCCTCCGAGAATGACAGGGTAGTAAAAGCCAGAACTTATCTTATGATACTATTTGGTACCTTTTTATTTCCCGAAAGTACGGGAAATAGTGTAAATTTTATGTATTTACATTTACTAAGAAATTTTGAAAAAACAAGAAAATATAGTTGGAGTTCTGCAGTTTTAGCCCACCTATACAGTTCCTTGTGCAAAAATGCAGTCAAGGAAAAATGTACATTTTATGTGTGCGCTTTTTTACTACAAGCCTGGGGTTGGTGGAGGATGGAGTCCTTAAACCCCGTCAACAACAACACTTTCGGTTTCCCGTACGCAACAAAGTAAGTCATCAAGTTATAGCATTTATTACTATTCATCTCTTCCCCAAATATATGCTAAGAATAAAATGTTTTTCATTTCCTTTAGGTACTGTGTAAGGGGTATGGATTACGGCAAGAATCCAAGATTCAATGTCGCACTATACCGCAATCTGTTGGATCACTTAGGCTCGGATGACGTACGTCGTAGCTTTTAACTTTTCTTCATTTAAATTATTTATACATTACTTTTGCATTAACCTGATTTAAATTTTATCACAGTTCGTCTGGAGACCATATTTGGGTTTGGGCCATGATCCAAACCCGGAGGATGCAGCAACTTGGACCGCGAAGACTGCAATCATTCGGTTCAACATTGTGGAGATGCACCACAGCTACCGTGTGAAGATGCAGTTCGGAATGCATCAAGAGATACCAAGTGATCCAACTTGTTTGTCCCCATGGCATCTTAAAAGGGTCGACGCCCAGTGGGGTCTTACCAACTGGAAAGACTTCGCTCCGGAATGGTGTAAGATGTGGCAGAGGCGTCACTTCTATGTCTTGCAATTCCCGGTTTTCCTTAATCAAGGTAATATGCGACACACGGATCAATATTTGTCTTGGTACAGGTCAGTTAGTAACCCTGAAATGCACTTGTCTTATCCAAGGTACTTGGTTGACCCACGCACACAATGGGAACAACCCTCGTTTCCCCAACAACAAACCCAAAACCCATCAACCTCCCACCAACCCCCAAGAAGAAACAGACCCACAAACACCCAACCACAGTCCCCACCACAACACAATTACACTCAAATGCCACACAACCAACCACAATACCACCACACTATCAATACCCCGATATGCCTCACACCCAACCACAATACCAATCCCAATACCAGCACACCCGCATACCCCACACACAATTTCAGTCTTCCGTGTATCCCAATATGGGCCCTTATACATCCAGTCTTAGCCCTGATATGGGAATGTCGAAAGATTACGAACAAACCGACCCAGCCTACCATCAACCACAATATCACCAAACCACCCAACATCCTCAATACCAAACACCCCAAGATCCATTTCCTTTCTACCCACTGTACTCAGACGACCAATGCTACCGACCCACTATGGAACCCCACCCACCGCCAACACGACCAAACTTTGAGGGTATGGGTAACCGACTGTACCAAAGCGAATCTTCTAGATATGGAGATCTGACTGATTTTATGGATCCGGACCGCATTGACTTCGCTGGGCCATCGACCTTGCCGCAGCAGGAAACGCGACGACACCCAGCACGAGAAAGGCGAGGACGGGGATGCGGAATCGGAGGACATTACCGGGTTCCGGGGGATCACTGATTTATCTGTTTTTTTTTCCTGTATTTTTTTATCTGTTTTTTTTAATCTGTTATTTTAATGTAATACAGTTGGATGTAATTATTTTTTTTTTTAATAAAAAGTCCATTTTGTTGATCCTGTATCCAACACGCAACGTACCGGACAAAAAAAAATCACATTTTGCCCTAAAATAACACCTAGGCGCCATCTCACTTCATAGGCGCCAAGTGAGATGGCGCCTCCCCTTAAAAATTGGGTGCATGCGCCAATTCAGATGGCTCCTCCTTTGGGGAGTCATCTGAAACATGATTATTTGTGTAATTTTTTCTGAAACGCGGTTATTTGCGGAAAAAAATTTTAATACATGATTATTAATAAAAAAAATTCTCATTTATTCACTACAATATTTTTATGTACAAATTTTTTATTCACGTTACTTATCAACAATCCACCACACTTACACTAACATCCACAATCAAAAATTTCTAACCCTTTCTCTCTCTCACGTGTAAATATGGCAGCACTAATTTCTAACCAAAAACACTTTGGTACATAGTTCACACACACGCAAATTTTCATTAGAAAATCCAGTAGAATTCATAAACCAAAAACCATCCAAGTTCATAGAGTAACACAAAGCACTTGTTCAAGAAAACCAATAACAACCCAAAAAAGATCAATACTAATTTCCACGAAACCCGTAAATTCTCAGTCACAAGGTTTTGTCACAACGGTAGAACCTGCAAACTAACAACAAGATATCAAACTTGTACAAAGTTTTCATTTTTGTTTTTGCAGGAATAATACCAGAAAAGAGTTGCAGCTTTGTCCGCTCACGTTCGCACATCCCGACACAGTGCAGCACCGCAACCCTCATGCCGATGCAGCCGCGATCAACTCACGCAACACACCAGCAGCTCTAGCCGCACAATCAACATCGCCATCACGCGACCCCAACTCCGATCACGCTCCTCCGATATAATTACAATGCACCCTTCAACGCACACCGCCTCCGTGTCACTCGTCTCTGCACACTGTGTTCTCCGCAAACGCCTGGTCAACTGTCGCACACAGAATCGCGCATCCAATTTTCCGTTGGAGTCTGCGTCTCCGACCGTTTGCAACCACCGTTCACCATCATGTAGATTGCAACTCAACACCACAATTCGACCATGCAAAATACAGGTCGGATCACTTCTTTTTCTATCCTGATTTCTAATTGTTTGTTGTTTATTTGTGATTCAAGGGATGAGTTTGCTTTTGAGCATGAAACATAGAAAGATGGAGTTTGTATCAGTTTGTTTGGAGAGAGGATAAAGAAGAGACATTATAGTGGGTTTTATTGATTTCTTCTACTGATATTGCGTTTTCTAGTGTTATAACTTTTTTTATTATTTTGTTTTTTATGTACTGCCACTTGTTTATCTATGAATGGCCGTTGAAATTGGCCTTATCCTGGTTTAGTCATATATTGTATTTAATAGAAATATTAAAACAAAGGAAAGTGACATACTGGTAAGCGGTCCAAGATGTATAAAAAAAGTGAGAATATCTACTGATTAGTATTTAGTTTGGCTTTATGATTCACATGCTACTATGACTATCGAAGAATTAGATGTAACATTTCTTTCCCTTTTCATCTTTATTATTATTTCTTACTTTATAAATTTTAATTATTAATTTACCATTCTATTTCATTTAGTTGAATTTTGTTGGGCTTTGATCCATTTTGGATTAACTTCAATCAGGGTCAAGAATGCTATCATCACCCCCTAATTTACTTAGGCACCTCAAGGCTATTTATTTTTTTAGTTTAGCTTTAATTTATTTAATATATTTCATAGTTAATTAAGTTAATTATTTATTTAGGTTATTTAGTTTTAACTAATTAAAAATATTAAAAAAAATAATCAAAACCCACGCAATTTCGAATATTTCGTCCGCGAGCGACACGTGGTCAATATTGGCCACGTGGTGAGGAAGACTATATCAGACTTCCTCTGCATCCTTCATGACGAGTAACACGTGGTCAATATCTGGCCACGTGAGGAGGAGACTATATCGGACTCCCCCGTTCCACGCCTTAATCAAATCAAATACCAAAACAGCTAACCAATTACAAACTATTTTTCCACTTACATAATCAAAAACAAGATGTTTTCGAAAAAGGATTACATAGAATTACTTTCGAATCATACTGCGAACCACGTCTATGGTCACTCAATTTACAACCCAGACAACGTTCAAGGTTAATTCAAAAGCAATTCTACGCAATCTTAAAAAAAATACCAATCAAACTACGAACTACGAATTGGGACTTTGGTTCCTCATAAGAGGATACGTAGGCATACGATCAAAAATCGTAGTGAGTTCCCTATAAAAATTTTAAACCCTTTCCCCTAATAAAATTTAAATCATGTTTCCCCAACTCAAACCTAAAACCTAGTATCTTTGTGAACAAGGTAGATGAAAGGTGTCTAACACCTTCCTTTCGTCTAAAGAAGTCTGAAACCTAGAATCTCTGTCTGTGAATTAGGGTTTTTTGTTAGATTCCCTTCCCTAGGATAAAAAATAATAGTGACGGCTCTGGTTAAAAATCTAGTTGCGACACATATCTTCATACGTCCAAGCAAACACTTCAACGTAGTCATGTAACATCTGAACCAATCTACTTTTAATATCATTTTTTAAGTTGGCGCTGATCATGACCTCTCTTTTATCTGTATCTGTACCTAAGTTAATAACTACGACCGACTCTTCGTGAGGTTGAATAGCTTTCTCTTCTTGTATTAGAAGTCTGGCTAGTTCTCCTGGTATTTCATAATCTTCCTCTCCTTCGTCTTCGGCTTGGTTAACTGGATGTCTGAAATTATAACTGACAATAGTAGAGTCATGGGCAATGAGATCCGGAGTGGATGAAGATCTGCAAGTGTGTGTGTGTGTGTTGTGTGTGTGTGTGTGCGCATGTAAGGTACATGGTTATTTGATAAAAATGCAATAAAGGGAAAGAAAGACAATGAACGCAAAAATTTGAATGCCAAAAGATCCAATGGTTTATATTAAATGATCATATGATCCACGAACATGAACAAAACCCTTTAACAAAATGGACCAAAGTTCCCCGGCCAAGGCACCTGGCTTAAAAGTCATTGCTTTGGAATTTAAGATTACAGACAGAAATTCTTGAATTGATAGAAAATGGTAAACATTAATTACTCCTCAATGAAGGAGATAAGTGTGAAATCCTTTTCATGTCAGTTGGTGAGCTTTCCTTTGACCGTAGGGTAGATCCATTCTTTGAAAGGGCATTCATCATCAGAATCTTCGACAGCATTCACTTCATGATTTTCGATACGGAGAGGTATCTTTCCCACCTGAGCGCGCCTAACTTCTTTTTGAGCTTGAATGGTGAAACCCAATCCAAATTTTTCTGTTTTAAACGGGATGTCAGGAAGCTGGCCCCAGATAGTACAGTCTCCCTCCTCGACCATGGCACATGCATCTTTAAGCGAAACCATTTTTGGTATAACTTTATCAGCTTTTGATATGTTGGAGGAGGCTTTGGCGGCGGTAACCATAGGAGGAACAATTTCAAAGGCCTGGCATGGTGTTTCTATGAATTTTCCATCCATTTCCACATATTTGAAGAAATTAATATGGCTCACCATAAATTCTTCTTTGCTGCTAACAGTAACGATCTTTCCTTTGACTGGATACTTTAGTTTTTGATGAAGGATGGATGTTACTGCCCCTGCCCCATGGATCCAAGGGCGTCCAAGTAGACAAGAACAGGTGGGATGTATGTCCATTATGTAAAAGGTATAATTGAAAGTCTGTGAGCCAACTTTAATTGGGAGATCCACCTCTCCATGAACCAGTCTCTTAGTCCCATCGAAAGCCCTCACGATAATATCGCTTGGCTTTAAAACGAGTCCCTCACAATCTAGCCGGTCCAAAACACCCTTGGGTAACACATTTAACAATGAGCCAATATCAACTAAGAAATGAGCTAGGGTGGTTCCCTTGTATTCAACAGAGATATGTAAGGCTTTGTTGTGGTTTCTTCCCATAGGAGTCAAATCAGCATCAGATAATCCTAATCCATTATCAGCCGTTAAACTCGCCACACAGTTTTCAAACTGGTCAGCGGTGGTTTCCTGGGGCACGTGGGCCTCTTCAAGAACTTGATCATAGCTTGGGCATGAATGTCCGAACAAAGTAATAATGACAATATGGAAATTTTGGAAGGGGTTTGCCCCAACTGCTCCACTATTTTAAAGTCACTTTTCTTTATAATTTTTAGGATTTTCTTCACCTCTTGATTGGAGGGTTGTTCAGCATTAGCCTCTTTGGTAGGTGCCTCTATCCTAGCAGGCTCACAATCTCTCTCTTTGTCTTTAGTGTTGGTACTGGACTTGTTGTTGGTTATGCGGGCGGGAATCGTTGTAGTAACAGGTGGTGAAATATCAGGGGAAAAGATCCTCCATGTTCTCGTTAATTTACTAGAACCGGCAATATTGGTGACATCAGCTTTATTTTTGTCGATCCACGAATCTTGTTTTATCCCGTGGTAATAAAGCTCAGCACCATAGTTCCATGGAACTGCTTTGTCAGAGGAATAGGGGATGGGTCCAACGACAATGATTATTAAAGGAGTGATGGTTGGCTCATTTGAAATTCTGATAGGACCCTTTGAGGGGATCCTAAGCGGTTTATTGTAAATTATTATTATGGACAGCTCTTTGGTTTCATCGACCGAACCCTTGATGGCAGGAATCTTTTCAAACAGAATCTCGTAGCGATTTACCAGGTGTTGCACACCTTCCTTCAACCGCTTGCACCTACTTACTTGTTGATCACAGTAGACACAATCTTCAGAACAGCCAGGGAATACCATGGCTTTTAGCAAGTTAACCTTCACAATAGTTAACGGAGTTGTTAAATCTTCAATGGAGGTAATGAAAGTGGTATCATCAATTGCATTAACACCTTTGGCATGGTTCGGAATTGGTACAGTTATCACATTAGGAGTAGCAGATGGATCAAATTCAATTGTCTTATTGTCTATCAGATCTTGAGTCTTATTCTTCAGACCCCAGTATTAATCGGTTTCATGCCTAGGACTATTTAATGATATGCGCACTTGGCATTTGGATTGTATTTCAGTGATGAAGTGTTCAGATTGGATGGTGGATCACACAGTGTCACTATATTGGCCTTCAACGGATGTTGCAAGGTTTGGGACAGTGACATGCTAATCTTTGTGAATTGTCTTCGTGGAATTTCTGGTCGTTGATTCTTGAATGATTGCCTTTGAGCAGACAGGGGGTTGGATATTAACACAGCATTAACAGAGGGTCGATGATCCTTCTTGGAATGCGCCTTTTCCCCATACACAACATTTGCTTCCTTTTTCCAGTGAAAGGATTCTTTATAATGTTGGATGTGGAAGCATATGTCATTGGGATTTTTCTGCTCTTAATGTCACTTTCTACCCTTTCACCAGTTAGTATCAACTCGGTTAAACCAGACGAAGAACTTCCAATCAATAGGTTGAAAAATAGGCCGGTCAATGTTACCATGAACATGTCAATTAGTTCTCTGTCAGTTAGTGGTGGTTGGACCCTTGCAGCAAGATCCCTCCATTTTTGTGCGTACTCCTTAAACCCCTCATTGGTACCCATTGTCATACCTTGAAGTTGGACTCTAGTAGGTGCCAGATCGACATTGTATTGATACTGATGATAAAATATGATGGCTAGATCTTCCCATGTGTGGATGCGGGAACTCTCCAATTGATAGAACCATTCTAGTTGAGTCCCATCCAGACTCTCTTGGAAGAAATGGACCCAGAGCTTTTTGTTGGTGGTGTGCGGTTGCATCTTGCGTACGTAAGACCTTGGGTGAAGTTTTGGGCAGCATAATCCATCATACTTGGCGAAGACTGGTATTTTGAATTTACAGGAAATGACGACCCCAGGCACTAAACCCAAAAAGCCAAAATCCAAACTAGGTACGACTTGAATTTCAACAGCTTTTAGCATATCCTTCAACTGCTTGTATCTATCCTCGGCATGTGGGTATTGCTCATCAAAGTAGTCCTCATCTTCAGAAGCTTGATTATTTGCACCCTCAGCATGGGTTCTCCTTACCTCCTCGTCTTGATTTCCGTCTTCTTCAAACGACTCTTCAACTATCTGTACTTGACAAACCA